GGATCTCGTCCACAACCTGAACGGAAACATCCCGGCCGAGGAGAAGGGGGACGACGAGAAGTGGTTCGAAGGTAGGCGCGGGGCCCCCGGGCGGCTCCCCCTGCTCGGGAGTCACTTCGGCCAGCTTTACTGCTCTTAAAGCAGCTTAAAAATTGGGGAGTCCCTCCGGCTGCTGTGATCCAAGATTGCTCCAGAATACGTTTTTCCCCATCAGCATCGTTCTGCATTTACAATCTTTTAACAGTTTGCTAGTGGCATGTTGGTAACTTGCATCTGTCGGCCAGCTAACTTTTCTTTATGTTTTCTTTATACTTTCTTTGCAAGATCCCTCTCCCGTTCCCAAGTCATTCACAGAATCCCAGCATGGCAGGGGTTGGAAGGGCCCTCGGGAGCTCACCCAGTGCCACCCCCCTGCCCAAGCAGGCTCACCCAGAGCAGGGGGCACAGGACTTCATCCAGGGGGGCTTTGAAGATCTCCAGAGAAGGAGACTCCACAGCCCCCCTGGGCAGCCTGGGCCAGGGCTCGGGCACCCTCACAGTCAACAAGTTCTTCCTCCCGTTCAACTGGAACCTCTTATGTCTCAGGTTGTGCCCATGGCCCCTTGTTCTGTCACTGGGCACCACTGCTGCAGTTCTTCCTGAACAATTCCGTTTTCTTTTCACAATTTCTTAAGCGTTCTTTGCGTGCACATTAACGAGAAACCTTTAACAACTGTAGTATCAGCTACTGCTCTCGCAGCAGGCGCTCTGCATGGTCCTTTTGAGTGCCAAGAGCAGGGTGGTCTTGAACCAGTAAAATAAAAACAGGAAAGAAAAAAAATGCCTGTGCACAGCGAGTTTGTGAAAAGAAGGGATAAACACCCAGCTAGGCAGAAGCACAGCACTAAAAGCACTACGTTACAACACAGTCTAACTCCCTTTAGGTCTAGAGTCTCGTTTTAAGAACAAATCAAGCTACATGCGATACAGCTGTGAAAGCAGAATACGAGGCTACATGAAAGAGGTAAAAGTTTCTGTTGAAGTAACTTATTTTCAGGCTTCTGCTGCAATAATTCTGTGACCACATATATACATAAAACGCTTTTACGGTGCAAGGTATTGATCGTAGAAAAGAGCCGCAGGTTGCTATAGGCACCACAGAATGATTGTTTTGTTTTGTTTCCTGCCCCCCCCAGGTTAGTGGTTTTATTTCAAATGTTCACCCTACAGCCAGAGATGCGTATAAGAGGACAGTCGACCTGATGGCAGATAAACTGAAATCTGTGAAATACAACGGGTGCTACTTTGACAGAAGAGAGGAGGCGGCAGTCCGCCTGTGCACTGCGGAGGGCTGGTTCTCCTGCCAGGTAAGTTCAGCCCTTTCCGAAGCAGAGCCTCGGTTCTGGCAAGCAGCAGCGTGAGTCACGACGACATCAGAGGGAGGGAACAGCTACTTGGATGCTTGCGTAGTGCAGCATCAGGTTTGGCGGGGTGCTGCTGTCCTCGCGTGCGTGATCTGTGGTTGGTTCCAGCAAGGGAAAGGACCGCGCTGGGGTGGCGAGCGGCACGCCTGCCATTGCAGCCGTCTTGTTTTACAGGGACCTTTCGACAGAGGTGACTGCGCGTGCAAGCATTCTATCAACCCCTACAGCAACAGGGAGAGCAGAATCGTCTTCAGTACCTGGAATCTCGATCACATGTACGTACCAAGTTATTAATCCCAACTTACCTGTTCCACGCCCTTCAGGTCAGGCAGGAGAGGTGTAGCCATGGAGTCTTTACCTCATCCTTCCCCCCCCACTGTGCCGTTCACTCCGCTACGAGCAGGGCATTGTGATGGAAGATGCTTGGGTGCTGCAGCTGTTTCTGGTAACAAAATCCTGAAGACAGATTATAATGCCGCCTCTCGGCAGCTGCTTTGCTTCTGTTCAGATTTCCTTTGTATGGCAACATGCCCCTCCTCACCACGTTACCCTTTGTGAGGACTCCTCTCTGGCAAACGCCCTCAGACCCGTTCTCAGGCACTGTGCACTTGTGAAGCAAACAGGATTTGCTAAACTAATTTCCTCAGGAAAAAAAAAAGTCATGAACCTAGTTGGGGTGAAAGAATTCAGATTCCACCTGGCTCTCAAGGGACGATGGAGACTTGATTATTATGAAAAAACTTTTGATGGCAATATTGTTTTCTCTTTTGTGTACTGAAGAATAGAGAAGAAACGTGCTGTTATCCCAGAACTGGCAGAAGCTGTCAAAACACGAGATGGAAGAGAAGTGAACTGGGAATACTTCTATCAGCTGCTGTTTACCGTGGACAATTTAAAACTTGTACATATCGCTTGCCATAAGAAAACCAATCATAATCTCAGCTGTGACAAAACTAAAATTTACAGGAAACGGAAGCAAAACCACGAGATTTCATAGTGCTATCTCTGGAAGTGACTTCTTTTTTTCCAAATCTTGTCACGCGGTATCATTCTTAAGTAGCTCTAGTTCCTTAAACAAAAATTTATTTGCGAGTCCCTGGCAAAAGAGACTTGCTAAGTAATCCAACTGCAGTCTCACAAGGAATTCATTCAGGTGGTGCCTAATCCTACTCTCCCGCCTTCTCACTTACTACACGCCTGCCTTAGACTGCACTAAGTGTTCTGTGCAATCAAGTCCAGCTGGGAGTCAGAGGCCGACACTGATTATGTCCTACAGTCTCTTTTGTGCTGGCCCAAAAGTCACAGTACTCAGAAAGGAAACTCGGACAAAACTTCTCATAAAAACTAACCCGAGGGGACTGGTAGATTCATGTTTCTCTGAACATTAAGCCAAACACGGAATACCTTAGGGTAATTATTTTGCTCTGTGCCTGTTCCAGGGAGACAACCACTGTATTTCAGGTACGCCAAAGGGCGATGCCCTGACAGCCGCTGGCTCTTCTGTACCAAAACACCAGCGCTCATCTGTGACCGCTCCATTTGCTGCCGCTTTAGCCATGTGTCTCCTAGAGGGAAGAGCAGGGACACGGCCTATCTCCGCTTTTACCACCTTTGTTCTTTGTCAGCTTTCCCATCGATTGCCCTCTCCTTTCAGACAGTTTCTGCCTCTTTAGCCCGAGTTTGCTTGAAGCAATACAAGCAACATCACTGCGCAATAATCATGCTTACCTGCTGCTTTAGAGAACGTTGCTTCTGTAAAACACTCCCTACCTCAGGTAACAAAATACAGAGAGATCTATTTTTACTTGGTTTTTTGTTTTGGTTTTTTTTTTTTTTTCAAATATCAGCAGAGAGCAACTGAACTTTTAGGGACTGTCAGTGTAAACAATGTGAATTTTTTTTTAAAATGAAAAAATGTAAGTAACAAACTCAATCCCCCTCCCAAACATTTCAATATGAAATGTAGGTGCGTTTTAAATAAGAGAATTTCTAGTACCAATGCATTGAATTGATACTTCCAGCCTGCCTTACTGAACTGATTTTTTTTAAATAAAAAAAAAAAAAGTTACCACCATCTTTCTGTGTGTGTACGTGGAGGCAGAGGGGCAGGAGTGGTTAATCGGGTGTAATATAGCATGGCCAGCACAGGCTAGAAAGACCGGGCGCAGGGAAACAGTGGAGCGCTAGCCACTTACTGCTACGTATACAACATCGCTCAGCTCTAGGGAAGAGCTCTGTTCTCCCCCACATCGTTGGTCCTCTTTCCTACCTGGGCAAATCCGGCTAGTCCACACATGGCTGTGTGAGCCATAACTTACTAGGTCTTGGAAACGCGGGAGCTTTGCTACAGAAAGTATTGATTTACTTTGAACAGCAAACTCAATCCCCGTCCCAAACATTTCAAGATGAAAAATAGGTGCATTTTAAATAGAGGATTTCTAGTACCGATGCATTGAATTGATCCTTCCAGCCTTACTGAACGTACGTCATCGGTGACCGAGATGGAAATGCACATGATGCTGTTTTGACATCGGGGAAGGCATCACAGCTAAGATCCCGATGACAAACGTAATCTGTACAGCACGCTTCCTACAAACTGAAAATCGCTGTTTTGCACAGTGCTGAAATGAAAGCGAGCGTGTGTGTGAGAAGACATTTGCTAGAAAGAGACGGTAGCAGATACGGCATTTAAGAAAAGCTGGGAGAGCTGCTTCAAGATGGAGTTGTGCTGAAAACCATGAATATGCTATTAAAAAATTAGGTTTTCTGTGTTACAGAATTAGAGTGAAAAGGAGCCAAGAAATATCGTTGACAGAAACAATGCATCAGCTGGAGTGGAAATGTGAATAAATTAACATGTCATGCATATGCAATTTGTTTGGCTTACAACTTTTGAATGTTTAACAGGCTATAGCTGTAGAAATTAATATTTATTTAAACCATCTGCTGATACATTTTCTCTATATTTTTAGAAATGTAGAAGAAACTATTTATAACAATAAAGATCTGGAAGCTTATTGCATAATCACACTTTCAAAGAAGCATTATCATAAACAGCTCCTGAAATCATCGGAGGTTGCTCATTATTTTCTAAAAATGCAGGCCGAAATAACAAGTTTGGTGGACTGACCCATATCCTTAGCAACTGATACTCACTCATCTACCGAGCCTGATGCTGAAAGGTTTCATTCCTCTGTTACCACCACCGGTATCTTTGTTTACAAAATCCCTATTCATAACCACTGGAAGTTAATTGAAAATACTGCACAAGCTGCATCACACAGCTATGAAAACAGGCAATGCTTGCGGCTGCTCTGGTGGAAGAGGGAAGCCGTCAGCTTCACATGGTGGTTGTTCAGAGAACCGACATGCGATAAAAACGTACTTAACTTCCAGAGATTAACACCACTGAACTCACATGGGCATCCATGCGTTTAGTTTTGCCAGCAGCACTGCATTTTGGAGGTTTAGTTGGTTCTGGTTTAGATGCAAACAATGCATCACAACATACACAACGGAGGCCGGTGTCCCTCTTTGTGCTGGCTAGTCAACTGGCTGCATTACTAACAGGGTGGGTGCCACAATGGCAGACATTGAAGAATTAAAAGAAAAAGGACTTTGTTCTAATATGGTTTTCTTGGCTGTTTTTAAAAAAGGAGCAAGACCAGATATTCACCCTAGATACGGGCTCCAATTTAGGAAAAAGCATTAAGAACTTCTATTTTCCCTGGGTTTTTTTCCTAAATACTAGTGGTGAAATGATAAATTACAATTTATTTCCAAATCACTGAAAATTCAGACAATCTTTGCCCCAGATAACCGTGGGAGAATGCTGTATCTGCCAATTCCAGAAAAACAAGCTCTTACCAGTTCTCTCTCTGAGAAAAGGCAAACACAGACACCTTATGTTAGTGACATAGCCAGCCATCATTATGTGGTTGCAAAGAAAAAGAAAAAAGGTTTTGTTTGTTTACAGTTTGTTGTTAGACAACATCCTCTTCCTCCTCCTCCTCCTCCTCCTCGTCTTCCTTTGCAATGAAATGTAGCTTTCTGAATTCTCGCCTGCTCATCGTTGTGCTTGGGAGCGCAGCTGCAGGGAGATCCTTTACGAAAAAGACAAAATCATTAAGGAAAGTCTGTTGCAGCAAATGGCAGGCCTCCTGCCTCTCCCACAGTTCGCATACTTCCACATCTGATACATGACACACCAACACACACCTCTTCGCTTGGAAGCAGTGGCATAAACCCATAGCTAAAGCTTGCCTGAACCAGTCACGGCTCACGGTCACAGGGAGGGCTGGCATTCCTTCTGCAGGCTCGAGAAGGATTCAAAGAGGGTGAAGTGACCCACAAACAGACCCTTGCCACTCCCACAAAATACCAGCCGTGACTCCTAACTACCGATCCTCATGAAACACCTGAAAGGAGGAGGCATCACTTGCCCAAAGTTACACAATGTTAAAGGCAGACCTGTGATTCGAATTTAAAGCTCTGGCCCCTGATCCAAAAGGTCACCAGAAATCAGCTTCCGTTCCAAAGAATTACAATAATCACGATGAAGAACCAACGACCAGTGAAAAACTATTTTGCCAGAATAATACTGTGCCTTTATGAGTAAAAATACCTATCTGAGGGAATTGGAATAATAAAATCTAAACAAGAAAGATTTCACATCTGAAATTAACGTGTCTTGGCAATTAACTTCATCTCTGAGACAAATTAATTCTATGTAGGGGGTGGGGATATGACTCCAGATGTCTACAAATATCAGTCAAGCTTGCAATTTTGAGGCTAGCCCGCTTTTGTTTAAGATGCGAGACTGAAGTGGAACAGAAGTGAATCTGTAGAGTGAACAGACTGTCATCATCTCACCTGGATAAACTCAACATCTCCAAAGAACCGGTCCACTGGCATTGGCTGGTTGCTGTCTTCATCGAGGAAAGCGCTGCTGTCTGGTTGCATCGGCTTCTTCGGGAGATCCCCATCCTCCAAGCCAGACCCATCTGAAAGTACACTCTCGCAGCTGCTCTCCTCTTCGCTGCAGGCATGATTGTGCAGATTTTCAGCACTGTCCATTTGTGATGGAGCACTGCTCGGTTTCACTGCATGCGGCTTGAGAGAAACATTATGTTCCTTTTCCTGTTTGTCTTCACTAGTCTCTGGAATGCTTTCACCTTTTTTCTGTTGAATTATATTGTGGTCTCCTGGATCTTCTGCACACCGATCCCCATCAGATGTTTCAGGTGTTTCCCCCAGTGCAGCAAGGTTTTCACCTCCACATGTAAGTCCTTCGAGTTCTGATTTTACCAGACTGTGATTTTCACATTTTAGCCTCTTTGAGGGTCGTCTGTCAGCCGCTTTGCGTGAAGAATACTGTTAGGAAAAAAAAGTAAGATCCTAAAGCTTACTTGAAGTAAAAATAAAATCAACGTATCGCTTTAGTTGCAAGGCTGGATGTGGAACCAAAGGGCTCCATCAAGCGAGTGGCATCTTGATCCAGAGCTGCATCGCTAAGAAAAATAATTAATAGAAAGTGCACGTGAAAAGAAGAGGAGCAGAGAGCGTACGTTAAATCACAACGCGCGGTCCACCACCAGTAGAAAGCTTCTTCTCAAAGCATAAACTAGCACTGTACGTGGCTAATCACCATTTTCCTATTTTCATAGGGATGCTGTAGGTGGCAGTTAAGGTAGCAGAGCAGACTTGCCACCCGGTACAGCAAAGCGTCCCGCCGCTTGCTAGCGGCACAGCGCTCCGGCTGACAGCCCGCCACCGGCCTTCGAACGTGAGCGAGTCTGAAAGCTGGCCCTGGAGCACACAGAAATGCCCCTGCGCTGTGGTTTTGCACATAAGCATCTAAGAAAGCGGCGGGAAGGTAGGGAAGGCTTAGAATTCACTGGAATTCCCTCGCGGTGATGCTCAGTTCGCAGCTATTAACACTTGGCTGCACCCTCCACCCCGTCACCGCCCGCCCCGCGGCCCTCGCCCC